AGTAAACTTCTTAGAGAGGTGACTTCACTCTGTTTCTTTCCTCAATCAGCAAAGCAGGGATAATAACATCTAACGGGACTGTGAAGGAAGTAGTCCTCGTGAGCATACTGGTGGGACTCAATGGCTTCCGCAGAAGACAGACACCAGAACCATTGTGGTGGCTGCTTTTCTCTAAGCCTGTGAATTGAGAGGTTGACCTAGCAACAATTTGAATAGCAAAGCATGTTTTTCTTAGTGCCCATTTTCCTGCAAAAGCATATTTCTGATTGGACTGCAGTCCAAAGCATAATTAAATGTTACAGAGGCTCTCAGAACTTTATGTCAGAGTCTTTTTTCCATTTTAATTTGACAACACAAACAAGTCTAATGTTTCATTTTGCTGGCTCCAGATGTCCATTGTGAATGTAAATGATGAGCCAGTGGAGCTGACGCTTCCACAGAACTGATAGTTGGTGCAAAAATGAATCGTTGCACATCCTGCAGGTGCCTCTGCTGAGGGAATCTTTTCACTCTGAGGACATTTAACAGATAGGCAGCTGGTCAAAGAAAGCCTTTAGGCTATTTCAAAGAAGTTTCAATACAAAATGAAATGCTTCACAAAGTTAGCTTGAAAGTACAATTTTACAAAATACAGTTATATACACTCTTTCATTTTTATTCCAATAATTCCAGGCTGTTTTCAGGGCTGAAAATACTATTTTTTTAAACAATCAGATGAACTCCAATATTTGGAGTTTTGATGGAGAGAACTTTCCACTTAGGATTTAATTTGGAGGTTGTATTGAAGTCAACAACAGCAACAAAAATACAATGATTTCCTGTATCTTGTTAATGAATACTGATTGCAGCTTGATTATTTTGGAATTTTCAGGATATTCAGAGCAGCATATTTTTACAAAGCCTTTCAAAGGACACTTAATGAGAGCCATATATAGAGGCAGCACCGATGTCTGCCTGGGGAGAGAGCTGTTCACACATGTATTTAGCATTTGAACTAAAACGCCCCATCTAATTTTTCAATCCTGTGTTCAGATCAGGGAGAATCTATGGCTAAATCTAAGCTGTCTACTGAAGTGCTTATGACTACAGAATTTCGAGTCAGAAAAAATGTCCTGAGAATTTCCTTTCTCTTTGCCTCAGAAATCCTGAATGATTATAATGCAAATGTCTGCTCACTTTGCCCTGTGATGATTCAACTGGATTCGTCTTTTCTGAAAGATCCCTGCATTCTAAAATAACTTGCTTCCTTTCCTACCATCTGTTAACACTCTATGTTTCAGGACAGCTGACCACTTCCAGAGGAGAGCAAACAGATGGAGTTAATTTGGGATAAGACAAGAGAGTATGCTAACTTATGTGGGGATGGGGTATTTAATTCATAAAAGGGTTTGCTTGAGAAGCCTGAATTTGTCTTTAATAATTGGAACTTGAAAAATTAACTTAGAAAATGTAAAGAATTCCAGGGCTAGGAATAGATTTGAAATTTGGATCTTTTGTCAGTATTTGATTTAGAAGAGATGCATGAGCACATTGTCACCAGGAAAAATAGAATGAATAATGATTGAATGATTAGTGTGTCTAAGGGAAAATATAAAGCATCAGTTAGCAGTTAGCCACCCTTAGATGTATAGAAATGGACAAAACGGCACACTTTGGAAAGGTATAGCCTAATGAGAAGGGAGTATTGCATGACAGACGTTTCATTCTTCCTCTATTAACAAGAAGACACAATATTAACACATATTTTATTTGAAACACACACACCCATACATGCACACACATTTATTTGACAGAAAGAGAGCAAGGAGCAAGAGAGAGTTCTCTCAACTGCTGATTCACTCGCTAAATATTTTCTGCTGAGGTCTCCTGCATGAGGAACAAGAATCTAGATATTTAGCTATCACCAATTGCTTCCCTTTAGCAGGTTTTAGCAGGAAGTTAGAGCCAGAACTAAAATCCAAGTGTCCTTATATGAGATAGAGCATCATAATTACTGCCCCTTCACATGCATTTTGCATTAAAGGGCTGATTTATGTAATTAATCTTATTTTAGGTTCACATTTCCTAAGTAAACTTCTGATTATCGTTTAGTTTCCAGGTTGTTCTGTCACATCAGTTGAGGAGCTCAGGCCCCATGATAGTTACTTTAAAACTAGTTTAACAGGATAGAACCAGAGAGTGAGAACCACTAGAACTTTAATAATTCCATTTTATTTTTTATTTTCCAAAGATGCATTTATTTATTTGAAAGATTTGGAGAGAAAGAGAGTATCTGCTGGTTCATTTCTCAGATGCCCACAATAGTCAGGGCTGGACCAGACCAAACTGAGGAGCCCGGAACTGCATCTGAGCCTACCCTATGGGTAGCAGGGGCCTAGGTCCTTGAACTGTTGCTTTCCCAGGCACAATAGCAGGGTGCTGGATGGGAAGCAAAGTAACCAAGATTTGAACCAGCATTCTGACATGGGATATGGGAGTCCCAAATGGAGGCTTAACCTATTGGCTCAAAATGCAAGCCCTAGTTATTTTTGCTTCTTAAAATGCTCATTTCTTTTTTCACCTAGTTGAAACACAGAGTAACAGAAAAAAAAAGAAGGAAAAAGAGAAAAAGAGAATCCATCCCACATGTCCACAATAGTGGCAATAGCCAAGGCTGGGCCCAGCTGAAGTCAGGTGTCCTTCGCTCCATCCAGGTCTCCAACTGGCCTGGCAAGGGCTGAAGCACTTGAGCCGTTATTTACTTTCTTCTGAGCTGCATTACCAGGAAACTGGATGGATAATGGGGCATCTGGGACATAAGCCAGCATTCTTATATAAGATGGGACATCCTAAATGGAGACTTAACTTGCTGTAAGACATCATCTGTACCCTATTAGGACTTTAAAGATGAACTATACCTGATACAATTGTGAAAGATGGCTAAACAGCCTCTGCAAAACTGTTGCCTTTACATCTTTTCTGGCACTAATGGTTGTTGGACAGGAGTCCGGAAAAGAAGGCAACTACGTGGAACCCATTGGATCAAGTGAAGTCTGCAAGGACGTAATGGACCCAGATCTCACATTGTCCCCACTTTGATGGCCACAGTGAATTGCAGAAGAAATTGATACCCTTCATTAAGGAGGTAAATCTGTGTCTTAGGACAATTAACCTGAGGCTGATGTTGTGGCACAGTGGAGCCAAGCCCCTTAGAGGGATACCTGTGTCCACATCAGAGTTCTGGTTCAAGTCCTGGCTGCTACACATTTCATCAGGGTTTCTGCTAATGCTTTGTGGGAGGAAGAAAAAGTGCTTATGCCTCTGCCATCCATGCGAAAGACCAAGATGGGTTTCCTGGCTCCTGGCTTCAGTCTGGCCCAGCCCTGAGTGTTCTGGCCAAGTAGGAGTGAAGATCTCTCTATCTCTCTTTCCCTGTTAGTCAGTCTGCTTGCTTGATGAATGAATGAGTCCTCAAATAAAAACAAAAATGAGAGACAGTGATTTTTATGTGTAACTGAAGTGAAACAGATGATTTGTAGAGCCAGCTGTTGCTCAATGTCCACGCATGTTACCTGAGACATCAGGGGGCATGACTGGAATGGTGGCCTGTGTTTTTATGCTCAGTAAATGAAGAAGAGTGTGGGTACTTCAAATCTATTTCCACAAACCATACAAAAAACTCATACAGAAGAGAATAATGGAAAATGCAGTTCTGACCTGGCTAAGTTGCTGATTTTCAACTTCTTTTTACTAATACTACATTGGCAAGTGTGATGACCCAGTTCTAGTTTATAAATATACTGTGTTAGTAGTCTGGGGTCTGAGAGATGGATCTACTTGAAGTCCACATGAAATAAGAGGGTTGACTGTGAGCCAGAACTTGGGGAGAAGTTGGTCTTCAAAGCTAATAAGTGACAACCTGTGAGATCTCTTCTCAGACAGTGTACTTCATTCACCCAGGTCTCAGTCAGACAAGTTCTTATCACTCTCCTGGCATTTGCCTGGTGATTTTCCTTTTCTTTTTGAACTTATATACCTAGAATGTTTCAAATTTGCATCTCAGAAGTTACCTTGGTAAATTATTTTTCATTGGTTTCTAGAGTCTAGGATGTGAAAATGAGGTTTTTTGCTCCTAATTTATGCTTTTGCTCTTCTACTTATCAAAAATGTTTTCCATCATCCACCTGACACTTCTTTTTCTATGAGATTCATATAACAGCCAGAAATCTCCAAACATCTTTTTAAAGAAATATTTATTTTTATTGGAAAGTCAGATGTACACAGAGAAAGATAGAGAAAAATATCTTCCATCCACTGGCTCATTCCCAAGTACTCTTAATGGCCAAAGCTAAGCTGAACCAAAGTCGGCTGGCACCCGTAAGGGAAGCTGGCGCTTGCTAGTTGAGGATTAGCCAATCAAGCCATTGCCCTGCCTCCCCTCCAAATCACCAAATATTTTATAAAGATGACTATAGCCATGGGTATTGCTTGCTATATATGTTGATTTAATTATGTTGTTAGTTTCTCACTGCATCTACTTCTATCTTCTCATCTAGAACAGGAACTGTTGTAATTAAAATGGGTTTTAACCCAATGTGATAGGTTAAAAGTTCGATTGTATCTAGGCTAAAAGCTTGATTGTATCTACAAGTGTGTATTACATTCTAGTCAGTTAGTGGATGCATTGAACAGGGTAGAGAATGTTGATGAAACAATGTAAATCCATCACTACTCTGAAAACTCTCTTTTCTAGGAGAAGCTTATTTGAAAAATAAAAAATAAATACTATTTCTTAAGCCAAGAGTTCTACATTCTCCAGTCCTTCTTATTTTTGGAAAGTTACCAAGATGCAAAGGGGGAAAATTCCTGTAAAATAGCTTACCTGAGAATGGATGAGTTGTGTTGATGCAGGAGCTATTTTTATCCTTATGTGTAGGTCTTTTGGCCTATCATTGCCCAAAGATTCAGAAGCATTGTTATCTTGTCAAATGTAGTCTATTTTTGCATTATCTGCATTTCAGATATCCTCGTACCAACCTGTCAGTGAAGGCAGATGAAGGATGTTGGTAATGATGAAGGGCTGATGAGAACAGGACAAGAGTCCTGCAGAAAGATCGCACAGTTGCTGTAGGAATCTGCAGGGAGAGAAGGTAAGCAATTCAATGGGAGGCCTGATGCAAAAGGTCAAAGACAATGTTATTCAGAACTGCCTTCTGCCTTAGCCTAGAGAAGCTCAAATCTGTTAGCAGGTGTTTCTCCAAGGTGTCTAGACCGGACCCTACGTATGTGTTGATTTCTGGGAAAAATTAAAATTGAGGACCAGTATTTAAGAAATAGGAAACTTCTCATGAAAGCTCAGACCATAACTAATGGGAATTGACATACTTCCACTTTTACCCCCTACTTCTTTGGATAATATAAAATGATTTTTAAACCACCTCCCCCCTTCCCTTAGGCTCAGGTTTCCAGGAGTTGGCAGTAAAACAGTCAAATCTTGAGAGGGTAACTTGGAGACAAGGAAATAACTGAAAAGCTTGCTTGCTTATTAGGCAATAAATTAGGTACTGGGATTGACGCCAGGCTGGTTTTGAAAGGGCCACTACATATTGACCTCTTTGAAAAAATGGATTTATTATTGAATAGTCTGTATGAAATCTTAACTAATGAGTGCCGTGTCAGAGCCCTGTGGTTTAGGCAGGTCCCGTATGCAGTTACAATGAGGTTGGGAGGTTGGATTCTGCTGACATCTATCTGGCAGAGACACTGGTACTTGGAACCTCCTGCTAATCAAAGCTTGTCCAGACCATTTCTCACTATGGTATATCATCCTCTGCTGAATTGTGATGCAGATTAGTGAGGGAGACCTGGCCAAATTTCAAAGCGGCTGTCAAATCTAGTGGTACTGGTCTACTCCTGGGTGTTTCTAAAACCAAATAAGAATTTTTGAATCCAATATTGTGCAGTAATCAGAGGAATAGCTGTAGAATTCATTAGCAAATTAATGTAACTATGTTTCTGGCAAAAAGGCACAGACCAAGATTATTTACTTTCCTTTGTTGAAAAGCAAAAATTGAAATGGTAATTAAATAATTGGATGAAACATTTAATTAATGTCTATGGCTTTTAAAAATCCCAAGCAAGTGGTTTCATAAATGGAAAATACATTAATTACATATTAATTTGTCAGTGTTGATAACAGTTCATAGAACAATTTAACAGTTTAGCAATCTATTTAACAATTTATTGCCAGTTTCATAACACGTGAAACTGTTATGCATCCCTGGTGTTCAATATGGGTGTGTTGCTTTCTCTCCTGGTTGCTTCACTTTCAGCTCAGCTCCTGTTAATAACGTGAGGAAAGCAGCAGAAGATGGCCTAAGTACTTGGGCCTAAGTATTCTGGGAGACCTGGTTGAAGTTGCTGGCTCCTGATTTCAGCCTTACGTTGTGCTGGCCATTGAAGCCGTCTGGGGAGTGAATCAGCAGGTGGAAGATTCTCTCTCTCTCTCCTATTCTCTGGAATTTGCTGTGGAGTCTGGAGAGTTAGCACATCCTGGGGGTAATGCCAAGGAATAGCTATGTGAAATTCTATAGCAGGCAGTTGATTCTGTGTCTTACAGGTCTTGGGTTGCTATTGAGCAACAGACATGGCAGAAGGGAAAATAAATGAATTGTGATTAGCAAGTACGTGCTTCGAGCATCAGCACCAATATTTTTACCTCCCATCTTATGTAGCCAAGATCACCTTAGAGGGTATTGGTTGCTGCTTCATTCTCATCTTCATATCGCTCACAAATTCAGGTGAGTGCTAACCAGTAAAGAAGGTGATATTAGGAATCAGTATTTCAATTTCAACAAGTTAATGCACTATAAAACAATATCAATGTCATGCAACTAACTTATTCCATATTCTAGTTAGATATTATATCACATAAATACCACTCAAGGTTGGAATCTATGCTTTTCAATTTTAATTGGAACTTGTGCAAGAAACATACAGACAGAGAAAGAGAGAGAACATATGCATGTGCATGAGACAGAAAGATAAAAGTGCTCTGTTCCATCTGCTCATTCACTTCCCAGACATTTCCACAGCAGAGGTTGGGCCACACAGAAACCAGCTTGGAACTTCATCCAGTTCTCCCATGTGAATGTAGGGAGTCAAGTACTTATGCCATCACCTGTACAAGCCTTACTTAGCAGGGAGCTAGCTGTATTGGAATACTGTGTAGTGAGGGCTTTAAATTTGTCAGGCCCTTGTGTATGAGATCTAAGCAACCCAAACTGCTTGAGGGGACGCCATCCATTTTCATGTATTTCTGTTTTTATGCAAAAATACTTATGGTAAATTCGGTGGAATTCACTTTAACATCCAGGATACTTGCATTGTTCCAAGCCGTAAGCTGCATTTGTAACTAGAACCAGGAAGACATCAATCAAGTCAGGATTGTTTTTACATCTGCAGATAGTTGCTATTGGCATAAAGTTACGATGTAAAATTACTTGCCAGATAGAATTTTCCATCAATTTTTGACCTCAGAAACTCTTATCAATAAAAGTTAAAATAATTTTAACAGCTTGGTTTAAAATACAAATTTACATTATTTCCTTCTACTTATGAATGTTTTAAGGGAGTCTGTCTTATGTCTTTACTTAGATGGGTATGGATATAGGAAGATAGAGGGCAAAGGAGATGTAGGATTAAAATGGTAAGCAGGATTTTTGTATCTAGTTCTCCATGGATATCAGCCTGTAATAGTCTTTCTGTTGTGTCTCTATCCAGCTTTGGTATTAAGGTGATACTGGTGTCATAGTCTGGGAGAATTGCCTTCCTTTCTGTTGTTTTGAATAAATAGCTTGTGGAGGATTGGGGGTAGTTTCTTCCTGAAACATTTGGTAGAATTCAGCAGTGAAGCCTTCCAGTTCTGGGCTTCTCTTTGTTGGGAGGGATTTAATTATTGATTGAATCCTCTACCCTGGTTATAGATCTATTTAGATTTTAATTTGCCTTGTTATTCAGTTTGGCAAATTGTATATGTTCCAGAAATATATGCATTTCTTCTAGGTCTTCTGGTTTAGTGATATAGTTGCTTGTAATAGTTCTTGATATTCCATATATATTTGAGGTTTACCTTGTTATGTCTCCCTTTTTGACATTGATTCTATTGATCTGTATCTTCTCTCTTTTGTTTTTTTGATTAGATGGACTAGGGGTGTATCCATTTTGTTGATTTTCTCAAAGAACCAGCTCTCTGATTTGTTGACCATATGAATGTTCTTTTGGTCTCTATTTGACTTCTTCCTTTCTTATTTTGATTGTTTTTTTTTGTGCCAATCTTGAGATCATTTTGCTGCTTTTTTTTTTTTTTGGTTCCTTCAGCTGCATAGTTATCTTATTTACCTGGTGTCTTTCTAGTATCTTGATGGAGGTACTGATATGTTCTGCAGATGCCTTCATTCATTTCAACAAACCGTTTATTTCCTCTCTGATTATTTCTATAACCCACTATTCATTCAGCAGCATGTTGTTCAATTTCAAAGAATTTACATGCCTCTGGGGTATTTTGATTTGCTGGCCTTCATTTTCACTCCTTGATGGTCTGAGAAGATGTATGGTATAAAATACTCAATAAAATACTGGCCAGTGGAATTCAATAATACACCAGACATATAATTTACCCGGACCAGGTGCAATTTATCCCTGGAATATAGGGATGGTATATGATATACAAATGAATAAATGAGATAAACAACATCAGCAAAATGAAAAATGAAAGCCCTATGATCATCTCAATAGACTCAGGGAAGACATTTGATAAAATACAACATGCTGAAAACACTAAACAATATAGAGATGGAAGGAGCATTCTACAGCACAATCAATATATTTGAAAACTAATGCTAGCATCATACTGAACAGAGAAGCTTTCCATCTAAGATCCAGAAGTAAACAAGAGCATCTGGTTTCATCGTTGCTATTCAATAGAGTACGGAAAGCCCTTGCTTAAGCTACTAGGCATGAAAAATAATTGAAAGGAATTCAAATCAGAAATTATGAATTAAAATTATCCCTTTTGCAGATGAAATGAAAGAAATAGAAGAAGACATCAAAAGATAGAGAAATTTACCAGGTTTCTGGGTTAGTAGAATCAACATTATCAAAACATCCCTATTACTGGTCTCTTAGTGTAGACTAATATGGACACTATGGTAGTCAGTATGGAGAGTGCTCAGAAAACTTTAAACAGATCTATCATATGACTTAGCTATCCCACTGCTTGGAATATACCCAAAGGAAGTAAAAGCTGAATATGAGAAAGCAACCTGCAATCTAATATATGTAGTGGAACAATTGGCAATAGTTGTTAGGAAACCAACTCAGGTGCCCATCAACAGATAAAGAAAATGTGCCCTCAGAGCATGCTCCGCATCAGGACCCTGGGATGGACGAGAGGCTGGGCGTGGCTTCTCCCTCTATCTTCCCCCTATCCCCAGTTACAGAAAGGAAAAAAGGAAGATGTGCAAACAATAGTCTTGCCCACTTTTCTGTAATCCTTGACTCTTTGTGCCCTAATAAAAAATGTAAAGATCATCAAAATATAATAATAATAATAATAATAATAATAAATAACAGATCAACTTAGACCTTAAACAAAACTGTCTTACATACATTATGTTTATGTGAAGTACAACTCTTAAGTATTACAACATCGCTTCACATTTGCTTCTGTGAATAATAAAAAAAGAAAGAAAAGAAAATGTGGAGCACTTACTCCATGAAATACCACTTAAGCGTAAAAAAGCATGCAGTCGTACCATTTGCAATCAAATGGTCTCGGTTGGAGACCATTATCCATAAAGGCAGGTTTACAGACAGAAAGAGAGACACAGAAACATCTTTCCTCTTCTGCTCTACTGCCCAAGTGGCTGCAATGGCCAGAGCTGAGCTGATCCAGAGCCAGGAGCCAGAAGCTTCTTCTGTGCCTCCCATGTGGGTGCAGAATCCTAACGCTTTGAATCATCCTCTGCTGTTTTCCTAGGCCACAAGTAGAGAGCTGTTTGCAAAGTGGAGCAGGCAGGACATGAATTGGCACCCATATGACATTCTGGCATGTCTAAGGCAAGGATTTAGCCACTGGGCCTTCACACCA